GCATGACTCAGATCATTTTGGTCTTGTCTGATGATGTGATCTTTCCCTCCAGGTGACTGCTAGCTGCCCGGCAGTGTGTGAGTGCCCAGAAGAGCCCTTGGTTTGCCCTCCAGGAGTTAGCACTGTGCCAGACGGATGTGGGTGCTGCAAGGTGTGCGCTGCGCAGCTTAACCAGGACTGCAGCCCCATGAGGCCTTGCGACCACCACAAAGGGCTGGAGTGTAATCACGGCAATGATGTGACCATGGCCTGGGGCATCTGTCGAGGTGAGAGAGAAGGCAGCAATGTATGCTTGGGGCGGGGGGGGGTTTACTTAGAAGTGTCTGAAATGGCTGTTAAATGACCTTCCTTTCCATAAAGCCAATGCCATCACAAGTGATGAGTTAACATGTAACCTTGCACATCCGGGAACAAGACAGGGAGTATTTTAATGAGTAGTACAGGTTTTATGGCAGCGACAGGGGGTTTCACAGTTAAAAATACTTTCCATCTGCACCATGCCAGTACTGCCCCACCAACTATGAATAGCTGGTTCTTCCATGCTTTGGAGACAAGGAGTCTGACACTTCCTGTCTCCTTATTTCCACTGACCTTTCTATCTTGGTGGTCCTCTGTGAGATTTTGTGAACTGTTGCAGTGTGAAGTCCAAAGCTCCATCATTGGTCCCTTAAAGCATGTCCTGTAGAAATACATAACCAATAGATTGTGCCAGGAATGCCTTTGTTGCTCCATGGTTTATGCTTAACAACAGCTATTTGTGTATATGACCAATTAAATGCAGTACATGTTGTATGCTGTATTTCAGCTGAGTAAAATGTGTCTTTGCAGCTAAATTAGAGGGACGCACATGCGAGTACAATGGCAGGATCTACCAGAATGGCGAGAGCTTCCGTGCCGGCTGTAAACACCAGTGTACCTGCATCGATGGCGCTGTTGGCTGCGCTCCTCTCTGTAGCAACAAGCTGCCACCGGCCTCTCCTTCCTGCCCCTACCCACGGCTGGTCCGGATACCCGGGCAGTGCTGCTTCAGCGTGGACTGCCATAAGGGCACCTGGCGGCTTCCACCTAAGCATCAGGTTTGTTTTTACATGTAATAACAAAAAGTTTCTCTTAGTAAGTGACTGACACAAATGGCACAAATTGTAAATATATTTTAGGAAACTGTTTAGAAGTACCAAATGGTGGAGGTGCAATTCCTCCCCTGCCACTGTGATGTTCTCTAAAACAAAGGTGATTTGGATGGAAGAGTAAATTCTACAAAACAATTTTCATTTATTTTTACATTCATTTTGTTTATTTATTTGAGAAAAATGCCAATTATAATTTCCTGATGCCCAAAATGATGTTTGTTTTTCAACATTTCATGATATCAAGTTTATTATCACATACGAGGAAGAATCGAATAATCACAGCTGAGAGGCTTTATATTTGGAATTTTTGCTTTAAAAAAATATTTATCCAATATTTGCTATATAATAATAATAATAATAATAATAATAATAATAATAATTTTCTTTTCAGCTATGCCACAGTATATTTGGGTCTTATACTAGGTAGATATGCTTCTCAGTTGCATGCAGAGGGTGGACAACATGTCAGGAGGCTCTCTTTAACTTAATTTTCTTTTGCATAATTCAGTCTTATTGTTGAGAAGCAATTCATTGAACTCTACACTCCGGACAATACAATGAGAGTAGAGGAAGTTGTGTGAAACTTTTCAGCAAGTCTTATAGATAAGACTGCACCTGCTTACACAGACAAGACACTGTTCATCAAGTGCTTTAAATCATGACAACGATTCATGCAGCTACAGAGAGGGTAAAGTGTCTCTCCTCTCACCAATCGCCCTAAAGTAACCCTTAATCAGGACGCCATTGTGTGAGTACCACTTATTGGAAAAACACACAAAAGATAGACATGACTGCAGCACGACTGAATCCCCAGCAACCGGCACTGTCTCATTTTATCTTATCTCTTATCGCAGGTGCCTCCACCACAACAACACCTGCCTAAACCTGAGCACCATCCTGTCCCGCACTGGCCTGAGAATGAGTTGGCCAACGAGCTTGCAGAAGTCAGGTCCAGCGGCTGGGAGAGTGAACATGGCTACAAACACCTGCCTGGTGAGTCATTAGGATTCAGTGGTTGTTTTTTTTCTGCTTTTCTATCCTGTTAGTCCTGTTCCCTACCGGTTTATATTGTGACACCTTGACCACTTGTTTGATGTATGATTATTCTTTTTCTCCGTCTTCCGCCCTCCTTAATGTCTCCAACGCTCCTCAGCATGGAACCATCTGAAGGAGAAGAAGTGTCCAGTCCAGACCACCGAATGGTCGCAGTGCTCCCGCAGCTGTGGGATGGGCGTTTCTTCTCGCATCACCAACAAGAACCCCCAGTGCAAGCTGGAGAGAGAGACGAGAATCTGTACCATACGTCCATGCCATGGCCTAACTGCCCCAACCAAGGTAGAGTACACTGAACCTGACTTGAACTGAAGGAGACAGAGACAGAGCATAGGTCGAAAAGCCACATAACTGCCGAGATAAATTCTTATCACAAGGCGTTTAGGTTTTACTGTGTGATAGATAAGTTACTGTGATAACACTTATCAATAAGGAATTATTCCACCTCTTATCTATCTATGTCTGAACAATACCTGCTCATTTCTTCTCTGCTTCCTTGTTTCCCTCTACTACTAAAGAGCAGACGCTGAAAACGTCAAATCTGTGCTGCAAAGAATGAAAAATTAGATGTTCTGACCCTGAGTAAATATGCTCTTAGTGCTAAAGCCATCTTTATCCCGAGCTTAAGAACAGAGATTATCTTAGCGGTACTTTCGGGAAGCACTACATCCAGTGGGAACTGGGCAGTGCTGATTTACTCAGCGGTGTTTTGGTGGCAGGCAGGCGCCTTTTTAAATATAGTCCCCCACCCCCGGCATTCCTGCCAAGCAACTGTCCATAGCTAGGCCCTGTCTGTGTACTCAGAGTCCAGGGAAGTGGTGTGTCTATATTAATCCTCCATGTTGGACACACAGTAAGAGCTCTTTTCTCTGCTCTGCTGGGTTAAAACCTCTGGTGCCAAGAACAATCATAGGTGTCAGTGTGTTTAACAAAAGGGAGACTCAAATGTTAAATAGATGGTTCATCTTATAATTAATCACTTCAAATCTAAAAATAATCCCTCTCTCAATCTATGTTTTGGCATGACAAGTTTAAGTGTGGCTCTATTAATGTGAAGCTAAAGAGTTTGAGTGTAAAGCTGCTTAAATCTGCTGTTATGTAAAAGGACAGGGCAGATAAAGGTCAATGCTTATTAGATTTTTTCTTTACTTGTTTTGGTGAATTTTGCTACTGAAGCCAATTAGGAATAACACAGACTATGTAACTCATCTCTTTACTTTTACCATCCAACCACAGAAAGGGAAGAAGTGCACCCCAGCCCAGAAAGCCCCAGAGCCCATCCGCCTGTCCTACGGAGAATGTATGAGTGTCCGCCTTTACCGGCCCAACTACTGCGGCGTGTGCACGGACAGACGGTGCTGCTCGCCACGCCGCACACGCACTGTACCCATCACCTTTGTCTGCCCAGACGGCGAGCGTTTCCAGAGGTCGGCCATGTTCATCCAGTCCTGTAAATGTAGTGATGACTGCGGCCACCTCAACGAAGTGGCCCTCCCTCCGCAGCACTGGATGTACGGAGATACACACAAGTTCATAGACTAGTACTGAGGAGGAAGTTTTATTGTTTTACTGTGATGAGGTCAAATTTCTTGATGGTGACACCTCAAGACTAGGGGCCCTTTTTTCTCATCCAGCTCCAACTGAGTGCGTGAAGACCACAGGCACCCACCTGACTGCCGAAATGCAGGCAGGAAGGGCCGCCTCGGATTTATTCACAACCATAAAGGCTTATTGTAATATTATTGTGACCAGAGTGGATTGTACACCTGCCTGCTCCTGTTCAAACAGACGTGGGACCTAAATTAGATCCCTGAAGCACCCCTGGACTTCCTCCACTCTGGACTGATTGCTGGTTCAAGTATGGAGGATTTTTCTTTTTCAGAGTAGCCTGAGAGAACAAGCAACAAAGCACTTTGTTTAGCACTGAAACTTTGTAACTATAACTGACAGCAGTGCACAAGGATCACCTCACCTTTAACAACAGTCGCACATACTGTGATGGTGGATGCCTCCATTTCCCACAGTGCACTGTGACTAATCAGTGACAAGCAAAAGAGTAAACTTTTGCAGCTTTAAGTAGAAAACTTAAGAGTATGAGGCAAAATGTGGACAAGACTTTTTTTTTTATTCAAAATATATTAAATCAACAAAGCATGTTGTGAACAGCACAGACCTTTGTTTTGGCATGCTGACATGACAGGGCATCAAAAAGTACATTTACACACACACACACACACACACACACACACACACTGAGGAAGGATACTGTCCCCTTTAAGACTGTAAAATGATAAGGAACGGTATCTGGAACCGACAAGCGTTCAGCGCGGACTGGACCAATGCCAACAGATTTCTTGATTGTGCATTAAATGCAGTTTTAGAGAAATGTCTTACACAAACCTGTATTTGAGAATTTATTTTGGATCACACTGTATTCTGTAAATAATTTCTTTATTTGGATCCAAGATTTTATTGTCACATTTATACACTTCTGTGGATTGAGACACTACAGTGTAGCTGTCACAAGATTTTGTTGGTCCATCCATGTGATAAAACTGGCTGCTGAGCTCAAGTTTCATGCAAGGTTTTATTTTAAGTCAACTTGAACAGATTTAAACTTGGCAGCCAGTTCTGTTTGGAAAAACAGTGGCTACGTCTTCAAACTACGATGATAGCACCCTCTGCTGGTTAGGAGAATTAACTGCAGTCAAAACACAACAAAGTTTGTATTTTACTGTTGTAGTGCAACTATGTTTAATGTAATCTGACAGACTTAAATGTTTTAAAACATGCTAAATTAAATCAAAAGCCATTAAATAAGGTATAAAAACTTTATTTCTTCAACCAAAACAATATATCCATGGTTATAACGAGGGAAACACTAAAACAAGCACTCTGAAAAGATGTGATAAAATAAAAAAAGGTTTTTATCATTATGAACTTGCCAACATTTATGGTGGGAAATAAAATAAGTTTTTTCCCCTTCGCCAAAATACAGCATCACCAAGGGTCACACACACAAGCTTCACTGGAAAGACTCTTCAGACTCATCTGGACTGTTCAACTGCAAAGAGAAAAAGGAAGGTTTTAAGATGCGAGAGTTTTGGATGCACAGGCAATCAAATGGGATACCACAGATCAGGGTATTTATATAGTAATCATTTGTCTGTATGGGTTTTAAGCCCACTGTGGTGCAGTTAGTCAATGTGTAGGTCGACATACACACTAATATCCTGATGTGTGATTACAATGTTGACCAGGGTTTTAAAAATCCAGTACGGGCATGTCTTTAACTTCTGGAAACTGCTGCCTGTTGAGTCACCGAGTTATCGTAACAGTTTAGGAACACACTTTGATTTGTAGCTGCTGCTAAATTCTCACTGATAAGAACACTGTTAACAGTAGAATGTTAAAATACGTGTAAACATAGATGGTTACCCAAAAAGCTGTTTGAATACCAGGATTTTAGTGTACATATACATAAACGTACTGAAAGTGGGTAATATCCAGTGCAAGACAGCTTGTGAGCAACAAGAAAAACTTACTGTAGGAGGAGATATCAATCTCCTCTGGTAGCTCTGCCACGTTGACCTCGAAGCGGTCTTGGACATCATTCAGGGTCTTAGCATCGGCCTCATCTGACACAAAGGTGACAGCCAGGCCTTTGGTCCCAAACCTGCCAGCACGGGCCACCTGAGGCACAGAAAGAAGTTAGGGCTAGAAGTGGGCTCTGCTCAAAGAACCAATTTCTATAAATAAGAAAGAGGGCTTATACTACAATCAAACAACTTTGTGAATTATTTCTGAGTCTACTGTTAACTTCTAAACATTTTTAATTTCAAATCCCCGTTTATAAACCATGGACCTCTACAGTATAGAAGGTTTCTGCACCCTTTTAACAAGATTTAGAAACAAACAGTACATTTGGTACCAGCAACAAGCCCTATATTTGTTTGTTTTGTAAATGAAAAAACAAATATCAGATATAAATAAAGTTATTATAGCTGGACTGACTCTGTGAAGGTATGTGTCAGAATCCTCTGGCATGTCGTAGTTGAAGACGATGTTGACTCGCTCAATGTCCATCCCTCGGCCAAACAGGTTGGTCGCAACCAGGATTCGCCGCTGGAAGTCTTTAAACTGCTGGTACCGGGATAACCTGGAGGGGAGGAATGAGCAACAACAGGAAAAGTAATAAGTACATTTATTCCAAAGTGAGGCAGATGTTTTCCACACCAATCCTCAGCAGTTAATTGAGACTTAATGCTTACATTTAAATGCTAACATTTAAAGTAGTGACTAGCACATCAGTGGGACTAAAGTACAGTGGTGTGCCGTTTTCCACATGTATTCATGCTCAAGATACTGACATTAGGACTGCTACTGTTGAATTCAAAGTGTGAACAAAAAGACAAGAATCAGTAATAAACCAGCAGCACCCACCGCTCTTCCTGCGCCATGCCCCTGTGGATTGCAATGGCAGGGAAATTCTGCTCCACCAGCAGCTGGGACAGAGCCACACAGCGATGTACTGACTTAACAAAGATCACCACCTAACAGGAACCAAAAGAAAAGGATTGCATATTTTTTTGCTGGGAATGACATCAATAAGATACAGACAGGCTGAAATCAACATAAAGATATCCCTCTAGAGGAGACAAATCTTTTAAATTAATTAGTATAAGAACAAGGCTGCAGATACATATTTCTTAAAATGAAGCCCCTTCACAAAGATTTTAAATAAAACAATAAATATGTACAAATCTGATTCCAATTCAGTATCTCATGAATGAGCAAGCTATACCTGGTTGAACTCAAGTACATCGAGCAGGTCAAAGAGCTTTCGGTTCTTCTCACTGTCCTTCAACTTGCAGTAATACTGCTGTAAGCCATGGAGGGTCAGCTTGGTCTCGTCATCCACAAACACTTCCATGGGCTACACAGCAAGAGAGGAGCCAAACATTAGTCTCACTCATACACACACATCTCTGCAGACCACATCAGAAAGGTCATAATGAGACACCAAAACGTGTTACATTCCCCATACATGACTCATTAACTGTGCATGGTGGCTCACTGAACCTGTTCTCCTGGACTGCAGTAGAGCCAGGAGGACTGACTGTCCTCATCAAGCCAAATCTGCCGAGGAGGATCACTTTGCCCCTCAGATATGGCCACTCATGACACGGACAGTCACAAGTGGGCAAAGCTAAGAGGGACTTTGCAGCAAGTGCTGACCTACCTGAACTAGCTGACTTGTTACACATTACAACACCGAGTATCTTAACTGCAATTACGGAAAGGACATTGAATAAAAGGTTCTCACTGGCCCCAGCACATACTGAAATGTCAGCTTATGCAAAATAGCTAGAATATATTTTTTTTTTAGGACAGCTGAGCTACTGTGGAATTATCCACACATTTTAACATATCTTTGACCAATCAGATGAATCAATGTCCCTGTTGTAGAAAGACTAAAATGTTCTATACCCATTTCTTCCCATGAAAACAGTTCTATGTGGCCTTGTCATAGCGATGAATCAATTCTCATTAGCATAAACATGACTTATATATACACACACACACACATACACGATTAAGACTATCTCAGCTGCACGTCTTTAATCTCTGCTAAAAAATAAACTAAACAAAAAAAGATGTATAACATGTTTAATATGAAACATCAGTAAATCTTGATAACTCACATCCTGCATGAACTTGCGGCAGACGGGGCGGATCTCCTTGCTTAGCGTTGCACTGAACATCATAACCTGTTTCTCATGGGGTGTCAGCCTGAAGATTTCCTGGACATCACGCCTCATGTCTGTCAGAATAAAGACAACACAATAGTACTCCCACAGTTATATTAACTGCATGTTTATTCTTTATATACAAACAAAATTTGAAACTTAACTCTAAATGTACAAAATTGCAGATAGCTCCATTCACAACAACCTATTTTCACAAACTTCCATAAGTGGGATACAGAACAATACCTGAATAAACTGGAAGTCTCCCCTGTCTTACTGACCACAGTCCTTCACCAAAGCTACTTGTTTCAGTCTACTACAAAACACTTTTGTTTCTCTTACTCACCCAGCTGCTCCAGCATCTTATCGCACTCGTCAAGCACAAAGTGTTTAATGTTCTTCAGGCTCAGGGTCTTGTTGTGGATGAGGGCCAGGGTACGTCCTGGAGTTCCCACGACGATGTGAGGGCAGTTCTTCTTCAGGACTTCCTCGTCCTTTTTGATGGTCATGCCACCGAAAAACACTGACACCTTGACAGTGGGCATGTACTTGGAGAAGCGCTCGTACTCTTTGCTGATCTGGAAGGCCAGCTCCCGTGTGTGGCACATTACAAGGACAGACACCTGGCATACAGGGAAAGAGGACAATCTTATTAAATGCTTAATCCTCATGTAGTCAGTTGTGTACCTTTGTGCTGCCGGCTAAGCCTTGATTCTTTTCTTCTTTTTTATAGGACATCCTCGACTTTTAACTATTGCTCCAGTGCGGTTTGAAAATGTTAGTTATTTCAATAATAATCATAATATCGTACAGTTCCTTCAAAATAACTAATGATATGTTAAAACAGATCTTGGGTGCATCTTGATGGCCTAGGGATTTGGGTGCCCACCATGAACAACAACGTTCCCGGTTTGCGTTAGCCGGGAATCTTTGATGCATGTCGTACCTATCTCACTGTCTCTCAACATTTCCTGTCAACTCCTATCATCTCTCTACTGTGGGGCACCAAAACAAACTTTACTGGCTGATGCTGAGGGCTGTTATTTTATTGTTTTTTGTGGTCATAGTTCTGACATGGTCCACTTGTAAATGTTGACCCTGGAGGAGTGACATTACTTCTGCAAATCATACTAAAAGGTCACTCCTTCTTGGAGGCACTTGTCCTCTGTAATTGCAGACAGACCTGTCAGGAGTGTTTTTTCATATACTGAAGTAGACATAACTTTGCAATGAATGACCTCTGTTGCTGTTGAACCAGGTAAACAGGCCATCCCTTTATATGCCATGTCTTGTCACAGAAAAAAAGTACTTTGAAGACTAGAGGTTCTTTTTGACGACATTTAAAAGTTTGTGAGATTTTATATATAAGGATGGTACCACGTCTGCCTTATTTTGAGCAAGTCTCATTGTGAGAAAAGAAAAACACGCTATAGGCATTTCTTAAAATTATTCAATGGATATGAAAGAGGCCTCAGGTCTAAAAACTTCAAACCAAATAGCCTGACAGCTATAAAAAAAAACAATGCAGAGGAGGTCAAATTTACATAACAGAATTGTTAACTTGGAAATACCACCTACTCCACGTTCAAAACGAGGTATGATTCATATTTAGGGGGAAGAATAAATAAATAAATGACCAACTCACCTGACCATCCACAGGCTCTATCTGCTGCAGGGTCGCCAGTACAAACACAGCTGTCTTTCCCATGCCAGACTTGGCCTGACAGAGGATGTCCATGCCCAGGATAGCTTGGGGAATACACTCATGTTGGACTGAAAATAAAACAAAAAAAAGGTACCCATAAGTGAGTGAAATTTTCAAAATCACCTCTTCGTGAATTCATGAAATTAGAATATGATAACAGCCTAGGAGACACTAGGAGTTTGTATGGAGGCGTAGGACAACACAAACTTGCTATTTACCTTCTGAGGGATGTTCAAAACCACAGTCAACAATGGCACGGAGCAGCTCTGGTTTGAGGAGAAAGTCTCTGAAGCCGGAGCTGTGGATGGATACATAGGACCCCTTCACCTCCTTCTTGTTTGCTGGGGTTCCACTCTCAGGGGCTCCCTGGGGCTCCTCATCTTCCTCATAGTCCAGAAGTTCATTATCAACATCAGTCTCAGCCATCTGTACGGATAGGATGTAAATCCATGTCTCAGAACTTCCCTTAAACAGTATGGACTGTGTCCTTTTTAATGTGCAAGCTCATATTTGAGATGAAGCACGGGAAGTTTTACTTTTTGCTCGTACTACACACACACACACACACACACACACACACACACAAACCTCTCTCTCTCTCTCTCTTTAATAAATTAAGCTAGGAATTAACTGTGTGTTATAAATTCGCGATTTCGAAAAACTGAAGTAATTAAAAAGAATGCTAAATGCTAATGATAATCAGCTGTGTGCGGAAACCAGCCCAGATAGCAGCGAGGTTCAAGGGTTGTTTGGCTGACGTGAACCGTGGCTGCGGCCTGCTGACATCATCAAAATGAGTTGTTTCTTGTGGGGGGGGGTCAACATTAACCTCTGTGTGCGCCGTCTTTAACGACCCACCTGATAGATTAGGTCTGTTTAGTTGTTACAATTAAGACGACTGAAAGTGATGGCCGACCGGTTTGACCCGGCAGAGACTGCGCACCCATAAACAATGGACTCCTCTTCCTCCTCTTCCTCCTCCTTCATTCAAACAGGCTAGTTATTAAGCTAGCAGCTAGCGGCTGAACGGTTCACGATTTACTTCTAACAAACATTTGGCTTCTGTTACTGGTTTCTTTAATACCATACTGTTAATTAAGTGTTATTATGTAGTGGAAAAACTAACAATAGTCACTATAACCAGAGAGATAAAGGTAACTGGCTAAACGCACCGGAGCTAATGTTAATGCGGCTAGCACGTAGAGCTACCAAAGCACATCTCAAAGCCTCAACGTAAACTCCTGCGACAGATTATGTGAAATATTTATCCTCGAATACCAATTAAATACATCGACATACGGATTAGTTTCGTTTGAACAGTACGAATGCGCCGCAGTATTACCTTTCTGTGATATTTTATGTCCCGCCGATATCAATGTGCGTGATACGAGCTTGTAAGTGCTTCTTCTTCTTCTTCTTCTTCTTCTTCTTCTTTGAGGTTTAAAGGCAGCTCGAACCTTTGGTGTCGCATTACTGCCAACTAGTGGCGATACTTAACTCCTCCAGATGGATGCTTCCTATTTAGGTTACTGAGTCCTGTTTTTAGTCTGCTCATATTACCTCATGTTTTCTGTCCCATGTCTCTCAATAAACACCAGAGTTCTTATGTTGTTGTTTTTTTTTGTAAGACTCATTTCACCTAGATGCACCACAGAGCGGCACAGGAAGTCATTCCTGCCTGTGGCCATCAAACTCTTTAACCCCCCCTCAGAGTGTTAAAACTGTGAGTCATTAAACTGATGCTGATCATTTGCAATACGTCGATACCCGGGTCAGTGTGCAATACTGTGGAATATGTTTACATTTATGTTTAGATTTACATTTACTTTGTATATAGGATCTTAATATTTTATTATATCTCTTATTATATTTATATTTTCCATTTTTATTTTCACTGTTACTATATGTATATACCTATACATTAATTTCTATTCTATATATTGTGTTAGATATTGTATATAAGTAATATTTCTTTATCGTGGTGTGAGTGGAACCACTGTAACAAACAAATTTCCCCCCTGGGGATCAATAAAGTATTTCTGATTATGATTCTGATTTTCATTAGGTTTTTTTTTACTGTTCAAAAATGTTTTGTTTGAGTGTAATTTTTATATGTCTCGTGTTAGTTTTAGTTTTGTTATGATAATATGGGGTTTGTTTGTCAGGGGTCAAGATCGAAGATGTTTAGTAAATAGGTAATACAACACAAACACATTGACTCACAGTCATGTAGACATCCCAGTCTCAATAGACATATGAACAAACGCCTCCTCGTGCTTGTTGTGTTGGCAAATTTGACCAAATTGAAAATGAAAGACATTGATTTCAGTGAACTAAAATGTTTCTTCATCGCTAGTTTTAGATTTTAGTTTAGTTTTATAATAATGTTGAAACGCTCTATATTGTATAGTGTGTAACTGTCTTCCATATATCTCCTGATTCCAGTGCTGCTGCCACTCTTTATTGATTTTCTTCCATGTATTACCATTTCCCTTCGAGTTTGAAAATGTAATTGTGGTGTCTGTATTTTCTTTTTTAACAGCTTGTTTGGCGAGATTGTTCACTCTCACATTGCCCATGTGTGACCACAGTGTTTTGTTTGATTACTTGTATGAGTATATATTATCTTATTTCAAATAGTACGTCTTGTCGCCTCTTGGATGCGTTTAGCTTTAGGCTGTACGGACCAGATGCTGAGTCCCTACACATCAGGGCCCTGTTAGGTTTGGATTATTTTCTGTGAAAATAGAACTCATTCAATCTCTCCCTTAATTCCCTCCCTTTTCCAGCAAGCCTCTTTTTTATGTGGGTGAATCTATGCCCTCTCAAATTCATCCAATAGTTGACCGCTAATCCTCTTTTTTTTTTTATTGGAAAGTTAAACCCCAATTTCTTCCCCAAAATATAAACTACATTTTTAGCTTGCAAGTTATAACAGTGCAGTGAGGAAACATGTGTGGTATGTTTAGGTAAACCTCAAAAAACCTTTAGCTCTCAACACTGTTAGATCCTGAGTTACCCCCGTATAGATGGTCCTGGACCAGCTCTCCATTTAAAGGGTCCGATCCTCTTGCCTGTGGGTATTACCCTGCCAGGTTCAGAAGAGGACTTAAGCTGGTGGCGAGGAGACACGCCTAGCTTCTAACTGCCTTCATCCAGACGCCTCCACTTCCCACTCTAGTGCAGCACCTGACCGAATAGCCCTAGAGTCAAATACCACACTAGCCATGAGAATCACGGCAGTTCTCCTCTTATTGATCTGTGCACTTAGTAGTTGCTAAGAACATTTTTAGTGGCTTGTACAGCAAGCACAAAGGGTCTGTTTAATTTCTTAACTCTTTGAATCAGCGGGGTCCCGACAATGGGTATCATTCTCGATGATGCCAACCCCTACTTCTTCCTCCAAGTCGGCTGGATCCTCATTCTCTCCCTCTGTGTTGAGGTGGTCGGGCTCTTCCCCAGCACCATCTCCTGAGTCGGAGTCCTTGCTGTTCGGTCCTCGCTCAGACCTTTCCTCTGGTTCGGAGTCCTCGCTGGCTGACCTCCTGGCAGTTTTCAGGGCTTCCCTTCTGACTGAGGTCATCTTCTTCGTCCGGGTCGTCTTGAACGATGCTTGGGTTTCATCTTCCTGCGATGTCGCCCGGAGAAGGGCCCCCCGGTTGTGCAGCTTGGTTATTAGTTCTCCATGTTCTTTGTATTGGCTAGCTGCTCTGGTGCTCGGTGAATCAAGGACACAGTCTATCTTCAACACTGTAGCCGTCATTTTCACTATGGGATCATACTTTGCGGACGGACTTATGAGGGCGGTGATTCTGCCCCCGCTCCAGTTGCCTATTATTTCAAACCACCATTCTAACCAAGCTCGGATATCTTCCCTTGACTTGACTACCGTGGGGTTTCGTATGACCATGATTGCCTGGCCATTCATGACAGCACTGGCATAGTAATACCCTTTGTCGGTCATCATTTCGCTCAGCTCTTCTTCTACTTCTTCTGGCGCCTTTCTTGGAACATAGGTCAGGAGGTGTCGGCGGATTGTATCGGTCCATGTAGGGAAGCTATCCCCATAGAATATAATCCGATGTGGAACCTTGGGCTCACTTTGTCGCACACTGGATCCTTCTTCGTTGCCTTCTGGACCTTCCATCTGTCTTGTTCGGCTGGGCGTCTGTGGCTCCTCTTGTGTCGCCGACATTGCCGCTTCTGTTGTCTTTATCTTTTGAGTCTTCTGCTCCTCAAAGCCTCCCTTTGCGATTCGGGTCAGGGATGAGTTGCAGACTAGTTGGGCTACTCAGCGTCGTTCGCTGGGCACAGCTTGGCTGTCCTCGTCGGTCACTCTGTCTCGGGCGCTCGGGTGGTTGTTCCCTCCACTGCATCCTCCTTTCTGGTGCTCGGACAGTGGTCCTCTCTGCTGCGCGCTCTTTTCTGGCGTTTGGCCAGATGTCTTCTCTGCTGCACACCTTTCTCTCTCTCGGGTCGTTTCACGAACAGCGGTTGATTCCTCCTCCTCTGTGGTTCTTCCTCAGGCCCGACGAGTCTTTTTCGCCAAGCCCCGCATTGGGTGTCACGTGTTAGATCCCGAGTTACCCCCGTATAGGTGGTACTGGACCAGCTCTCCGTTTAAAGGGTCCGATCCTCTTGCCTGTGGGTATTACTCTGCCAGGTTCAGAAGAGGACTGTTTAAGCTGGTGGCGAGGAGACACGCCTAGTCTCTAACTGCCTTCATCTGGACTCCTACCCTGCTTACTCTAGTGCAGCACCTGACCCAATAGCCCTAGAGTCAAATACCACACAAGCCACGTATGTTCTTGGCAACTCCTCTTATTGATCTGTGCACTAAGTAGTTGCTAGGAACATTTTTAGTGGCTTGTACAGTAAGCCCAAAGGGTCTGTTTAATTTCTTTGTCTAGAGTAACCTGTTAGAACCTTCAAGATGTTAAACACACTACCTAATAATTATTGCCTGTAGAGATCATATTAATCCAATGTCCACAATTTATTCTTTAACTGCAGTTGTTATATTTTATTGCAAGATTTAGCAAGGGCTAGCATACAGCTTGAATTGATTCAAAATTGATTATTCACTTCCACTGATATTTAAAGAATTATTAAATTTCAAACCCCGGTAAAAAGACTATAGCTGAGGGGTTGAATGTCCAGTTTGTAGAGAGAGAGGGAAGGGGTGTACGGCCAATACAGTCATTCCTTGTCTGCCATACTGTTGGTTGCTCTTGAAACTCCCGACTTTGTCCAAAGTCCGAAAAGTCTCTGACCAGTGCAGTCTCTGCTGGCAGGGTGAACAAAAGAGTGGTTCTTGGAAATCAATTGGAGACCTGAATGCCGGGTGGAAATGGTTAATCCTCCTCTGCTCGACACTCTCGTCTCGGCTGTAGGTTGTTGGACTCTTCTTTTCTGCAATGTTAGGCTGTTCGTTTGCGCCTTCTCTTGAGTTGAAATTCTAAGTTCAAAGATGCATTGTTCCAATGTGGTCGATCGATCAGCAAGTCTTGAACCCGAGAGCCGGCCGAGGACTAACCCCGATCCTCCTTGTGTAGCACCTTTTAGCCCCCTAGGGAGTTGCTGTGCTACTTCCTCTTTTGATAGTGTGTCCTGTGTGTGTGCTCATCCTCACAGGATGTGTGTCCTGTGTGTGCGCTCCAACTTCCCTTTTCTCTCAGCACCAGGCATGTCTGGACATGTCTGGTCAGTATTTCAACATGATTTACTTTTGGCCTTACTAACCATAGTTCTAACTTACTGTTATTCATTCATAATCATTATTTATCATTTAATCAGTTATACCTCTTATAATCATGTGTTCAATTCATACTTATTAACAATCACATAATCAGTTACAATCGTATAATCATGTTACATATCTCTTTTATAATCATATAATCAACATCAACCATTATGCTGTTTGGTTATTATAATCTCTGTGTATTGCATTATTCAGATGCAGAGTCCCTAATGCTCTGGTGTTATCTTTTTCCGATGCTAGACTAAAAGTCCCTTGTTTTCTACTGTATGGCTGGACAATGGTAAAGTCCTGTGCTTTCCAAAGTGGTGTAGCGGATCAGGGATCTCAACTTACTTGACAACACGGTTGAGCCAAGTGGCTGTACGTTATTGCTCCATAACCACAAAAAAAATCAATCCTGCAACAAAATTATTATGATGCACTTGTTTATTTTATACATCAAGTCAACACAACATAAAAATTGTTTAATACTTTTTACACTAAGTAACGACAGGACTTTCGGTATCTCTGCCACGTAGCACACCTGATAGAGCGTATGCCCCACGTCTTAAGGCTGAGTTTGTACCGCAGTGGCTCGGGTTCAATTCCAGCATGGTCCTTTGGTGCATGTCATCCCCTTTCTCTCTCCCTAATTTCTTATCTAACATCAGTTGTCACTATCAAATAAAGGCAGGAAAAGCACAATAAAATCATAAGTCTCCCATCTCCATGTGTGGGGGGGCAGCAATTGTATATAGGGGGCCACGGCCTTCGGGTGGTGCCCCTGTGATTATATGTTAACAGTGACCAAATTATTTTGGCTGTCTTTATAATATAGTAGGCTACAGCCAATGTTCTTGTAGGAGGTCATGTATTGTATCTTTTTTTCTGGATTTTTTAGACAGAATATACTGTCAATCTACAAGTATCTGCATATTTCCCATATGGCATTTGCAGCATTTTTTCACAATAGCCCAAGAGTCTGGGGAGGTGCAGTATCCAATTTGTCCACTTGATGGCGATAAAGTAAAGAAATTTGTATGACAGATGGCATTAAATGTAATTCAAAGTGTGCTCCTGTTTGTTATGTGGGGCCTCTGTACAAAGGCAGAGAACAGCCCTCAAGGCCTGCCTATAGTAAAACAAAAAAGCGATCTAATCAGAACTGGATTAACAGATGCCCCCTCCCAAATGACTACCTTTGTTTCTCCTACTGTGGAAGATCACAGGATCAAATCTTCATTTATTAATTAAACTAATTCAAATTCAGCCTCCAAAAAGTGGAGAATAGTATGACATGAAAAAAAGACAACATGGGTACATATGCAGATTCTACATCTATATAACAGTTTCCAACCTGTATGTGAAGGAAAAGACACTAAAATGAACGGGGAAACCCATGTCCAACATGAGCTTTAAACCCTGGAACATTTGTCACAAAGTACAGTGTTATGGCTGAGAGAGTCTGATAAGCATTTATCATTTTACTCATCACATTTTCTTTCTCACAGTTTTTGAGTTACCAATCATTAGCGTTTTTCTTTTACAACCCTTCAGTTAGAATTCTAGGAACGCTCAGAGAGGTCACAGAAAACAGTTCACATTTCCCGTACATACTACCACTACCAGACAGATATTTTCTGTTGCTGACTGAGTATCTCTTGTCAAGTAAAAATGACTCACTTTTTTTATTTTTGCCCAAATTTTCTACTTCTTTAAGAGCGTCCTGTTGCTTTATCTCATCTTGAGAGCAGTTCTGGCTTTTCCACAGCATGCTGTCTGCAGCATTTCATCTTCTGCAGTCAAATCATCCTGCACGTAATAAACTACTGCAATGGATGTGGATATTTCTGCTATTGGCAGTATTAATATTGAAGTTAAACAAGCAGGCTATTCGGTGGTGTACTGTTTTATTTATCGGTAGCCAAGTGCCAGAGAAGTGCTTTAACAACCTCATCTTGAGAAATATGCGTGAGAGCTTTTTTCTTAACCTCGTTCATCAGATCTCCCTCAATATAAGCAAAGTTGGTTTACACATTTAGTTAAGGAGCTGAAGAATAATAGTGGTAAATATTTTGGGCATAAGCCAACTCTTATGGACTTAATGGGCTGTATACCATGAACATAAATTACTTTTCACTGTGGCAGATATAAAGACAAAAGACGATGTATAAATCTATTATAAACACAGTTACAGGTATTTGTACTTTACTTGCATATTTACATTTCATGACACTCTATAGGTAATTTTTACTCTATTTATAGTGAAACATTGTTCTTTTTACTCCACTGTATGTATTTGACAGCTATAGTTTGCTAATTAAGATTTACATACCAAACATCAATCAGCTCATAAAACAGGATACATTGTTATAGATGTAACCCAATAGGCTTGTGAAAATGCGTATACATCAATGAATCAATGATAATGTAATATATAATATACTTTTACTTTTGACACTAAGTACATTTTATTGGTAATACTGATAGTATATAGTTTTACTTCAGTAACACTTTCTATGCACATTCTATGGCTACAGCTGCATTTTCTTATATAAAAGATAAGAGTACTCCATCAGTGCAGTGCCACTCATGATGCCCATCTCAGACATATTTCAGTCAGTGTACACAGAACAGCTTCATGGCTGTTAGCCATGATTATAGCTGATAACTGAAGGTAGGCATTATTTATTCATTCATTCATTTATTTTATGAAACAACACTGAAAATAACAATGCCGAATACAACCGCTTGTACTTATGACAAGACTACAGTTGGTTGCTATGGTACAATCGATCACAGAACCAGAGATCGACTGAAACTACTTCTACATTATACCAATGTTTGTCACGTAAGTAATCATTTAGTTGCTATACATAGATAAACTCCTGTAAATCCGTTAAAGCCGACACCGCTGACACCTGCGTGCCCCGCCTCCCCGCAGAATAAAGCTCCACGGTGATTGGCTGTCTCGGTTGTCCCTCCGAAGGATTCCCACAATCCCAACAGCCCATTGGTTCCTGACCTGTCAATCACATGTCACGCTGCAACCTGATTGGTCCGCCCCTCCTCGTGCTCAACGGCAGGGCGCAGAACGCCAGCCATTCTGTGTGATGTGCTCGCGCTGATTGATGCTGCCGTTTATACCACATCCCCGTTGAACCGTCGGCCCCATCGCACGGTGTCATGGTTGCTTTAGAGGATCTGTACGGAAAGACTCGTCGTTAAATTCAGTCCACACACACGAGCCTCTCCGTGGCGTGCAGAGGCTCGCGAGCAGCTGTGAGCCAGCGACCAGCTGCCTCCCGGTTGAACGGCGGCAGGAGGATGGCACTGCGTTGGACGGTCTCTCTGTATTTGTCCTCGGTGGTCTATTAAGATTTTAATTAGCTGATAACATACGTTTGACATTTAGGACGCAGTGGTTGCGGGAGCGACGACAGACGCACAGCCCTGATTATGGAAAAGGAGTCCAGGTAAGCAGCTCGGGGTGTATTCGTGTATTTGAGGTGTTTATTTTTAAAATTTGAATATCAATGTTATCGCGTGGAGCACGGGCCCAATGGCTTATTAGTTTTATATGCATTCAACTAACATAACGTTAGCAACATAGGGCCCACATAGCCAAACACTGGTTGGTCATTGGTTATTGAAGCGCCGTCAACAGCAGCTTCATCCGTCTGCTCCATTTATCTCAGTGTAAAATTCCGCTGTACAGCATGCCAGCGGAGACACGGCCCATTCATTAGCCTATAAACCATATTTTATTTTATAGCTCAGACATAGCGTGTTGCTCAGTGTCCGTATTGTCTTTCCTCTCCGCTGTCCCGTCCTCATTTCTTAACGTCGTTATACAATCGTGTTGTGGTGGGAGGCGGCGACGTTTCGGTGCCGCAAAAGAAGGGGATGATGTGTCATTTTGGCCACAGATGTTGATCCGAGCCGAGCCATGAGTCGACTGCAGAGCACGTAGGCCTGTTCAGACATCCTCAAGCAGCAGCAGTAGGCCGGGCTAATGAGCTGTCATGTCCAAACAACCTGCTCAATAGGATTACAAGCTCTTCAAGTATGAAACTGAAGGGAGAAAGCACTGTAGGAGTCACTTGGTATCTTTTATGAAGAGCTCTTTTCTTTGTGGAACAACAGTGGACGGATGTGTACTCACCTGTGTGTGTCTCTATGAGATGTTTGTTGATCTGTCCTTGGTGTACTTTACCAGAGACAACCGAGCTCCTCACCTGTCCGTTCAGGAGTCATTTAAATCAAAGGTGTCCAGTGTTGTTTTGGGCCTTAATACAGCTGTTTATCCTTCTATTCAGAGAGGGATTTACAGGTGAATCCTTTTTAAATGTGCTTTAATTGGCTCGTAAGACAGAAAACCTGCACTGCCCTTAACACTGAGGACTGAAAACCACTGTGTTAAATGACTCTGTGTTAAATCTAGGCCAGGCACATATCATTTTTACCTCCCAAGTGGAATTAAAAAGTAGGAAACTGACATAGTTTTTGTTGTATGATGTTGAAGCAATAAAGATAACGCTGACTAATCACAAAATGGAAGAGCTCCCTCGGGCATTTATCTTTTTTAGGAGTGGTGGGGGCTATTGAAGGAATTAATTATCTCACTCTGTTGATTATAATTACGGCTTAAATGCCCCATGACTAAGGACATGTACCACTGAGTAATGGGTTCATCATATCATCATACACAATGTAGTGAGATTACTTTCTGGCTTTTTAGCTGTGAAAATCCACTCAACTTGCAAAAGGCATCTCACACATCTCACCGTCAAGGAAACAGGTATCTGATTCACACATCCTGGTGACCTTGTTTTTATGCACTGCTGCCTCAACGAAACTTCTTCTTTATCTGATCCCACAATCACACACACACACACACACACACACACACACACACACACACACACACACACATGCAACATTACATATTACATCTGTGATGCCCGAGCGCACCTCAGCTTATCCCAGCTAACCTTTTCCTCTGCACTCACTGCTGCTGCCACCGCCATGTTATTCCTCTGTGTGTGAGTGAGTGGTAAGCTAATAGGCTTGGGACAGTGTCATCAGGATAAACAGTGTCTGAGTTGTGCGTGCACTCGTGTGTATGTGGATTTAAATGTGTGCACGTATGTGTGTACGAGGCCTCTTGCGAGAACAGGAGGAAGGATATCATCTCGAAGCCTTCTCCCTGCGCTGTACAGTTCGCCGGCCTGCTGCTATCCAGGTTTATCACTGTGTTTGGCTGTTGGACAGGGACAAACAGGAGCCACATGTCCAAGGGCCGATTGATCCCCCTCACCCCTAAAACAAGATTAGCTTTGATAAATTGTACAAATAGGGGTGATGCTGTGGCTTCTTCCAGAGTTTAGATCCACTCCACTTGTGGCTTAATCTAGCAAGAAACCCTGAGATGAATACTCAAAGAGGAGCATTATGACTATTTAATAAACTCTGTCAGATTTAACACATTAATTTAGATTCATTTAAAAAAAACTCATGTATATAATTTATGACGTGATTTTAATGCCACCTTTACATATTTCTATCCAATGCTTTACTAATGTGCCACAATAATGTAATGAGTAAAAATATCTCCATTTATTCGGAGGCTTTTCCAAGCAAAGATGTGATTGTTTGCAGTAAAATCAGCTTCTATTTCTGGCACCCCTTAAAGCCTCTATGCCACCCTCTTGCCATCCCATTAATATTTCCCTACGCATGCATTATCACATCGAGTGCTGTTATTACAAATTTGCAACGTATATTTTCCACCTTCAAGGCGGTTGCGGTTGCTTGAACACATCAGTGACTGTATCTCAAAGATAAACGATTGTCTCATATTGGTACTCAGATGACACTTTTCCTCACAGTATAAATCTAAGTTTTATTAATTGATGAGGCGTTCTGGTTCTGATGTGGCGGCTGGCTGTTTATTTTGTGCTACAGCTAACAGTTATTTTCAGTTTCAGTTAATCTGCGGATTATTTTCTCAACTAAGCAATTGTTTAGTTAATAAAATGTCCCAGAGCCCGAGGTGATGTCTTCAAATGTCTTGTTTTGTGCATCCTAAACCCGAAGATATTCATTTAACTATCATAGAAGACAAAAACAACTGGAAGCTATTTGGCATTTTTGCCTAAAACCTCTAAAAAATTGTTACCGATTCATTTTCTGTTGATCTACAAACCCATTAAACGACTGATTGTTTCAGCTCTAAAATACTAAGAGTTGATTTTTAACATGTAATATGGAGCCTTCACTGTCATCTGGTCTAGCTGGCTGGCTTGCAGGCTGGCTGGTGTGGTGTTGGCCTGGCCTGTGTGCACAGCACTGCACTTCATCTCGGTTGCTGACACATGGAAACAGGGAGCAGCTTGATGACCTGGCTGCCGTGGTTCAGGCTCGCTACAACTGTGGCTCTCCTCGCTCTACTCTATTGTTCTTGTAGGCTGCAGATTTGTAACTGGATCCGTGTCGCCCTGCAGATTTTACACCAACTGAATCGTGATCTCGTTTTCAGGCTGCTGCATGTTGGATTCATACCAACATACAAATCTCGGTTCAAATAATGAGGCTGAAATATACATAGGGCTGTTATAAATGCTGCAGAGGAAGACTGATTTGAGCTCTGCTCTAAAAATTGCCCTACTTTCTATTTATCTGTTTCAATAGTAATTTAATCTCTCTCCTTGCCCAACATTGTTTCCTTTGACAGTGGCAGCTTAATTTAAGGAAAAGCACCAGCACAACAGTGTAAAAATAACCCATTACAAGTAAAAGTTCTGCATTCAAGATCTTACTGAAGTAAAAGTGAAGCAGTATTATCAGCAAAATGTACTATAGTATCAAAAATAAAAGTACTCTTTTCAGATTATAAGATTGTTGCAATAATAATATGATGTGTAAGTGGCATATTTTCTGTTGTAGCTGTACAAGGTCAAGCTAGGCTTAACTACTTTATATATTGTAAAGTTAACCACTTTAGACCTGTGGTTCCCAAGCCAGAAGAGGCACAAGATAAATGTGAGGGGTAAAAAAAGTGAAATATTGGATAATTACCTTTTTTTAGAGGAACTGATAACAACTCTCAGACATCGGAAACGTGACAAGGAAGCATGCATTGTATTTTATAAGATTTTTAAATGTATAATCTGAATTATTATTATTATTAGTATAAAGCTGTCAGATCATTGTAGTAGAGTAAAAAGTATAATTTTCCCTCTGAAATGTAATGGAGAACAAGTATAAAGTTGCGTAAAATGGATATACTCATATAATGTACAAATACATTCCACCCTGTCCTTTGAGCGGGTATTACTAAACAGCGAGGACAGATATTTCATGTGCATTACTAACACACTATAGCTTTAATGACCATGATTTCTGAGGTAGTCAGATACAAACACGCTTTCTTTCTGTACCGAGCATTTCATCCGCTAAGTAAAGGTATTGTTATTGTTTAAAATGACCACAGGGGAATGATTTACTGCAGGGTGAATCTGTGGGAGTATGATTAACAACACAGACGTGTTACTGAGTGATAGACCGAGGCATTTTGAAATCGTCACACTGTGGCTGTTTATGATGCTTCGCTTTGCATGATCAACCTGTAATGTGTCCTGTAATGGATCGTCAGTGTTCCTGCGCTTTGGAGTAAACAATGTGAACGTTAAAAAGGTTTTTGCAGCTCAGGTTTGGTGGCAGAAATGTATCCGGATTGGTTTATTTACAAAGGAGGTTTGCTTATAGATGAATGAATCAATGAGGGCCATAAATTGTGTATTACATCTTTTTATTTTTTCGGGTCCAAATTCAAACGTAATCTCTGTGAACACCTGTCTAGATCATCTGACTAAAGGGAGACTTGAGGTAGTTAAAAACAAGCTTACAAAAAATAAATCAAATGAATCTAATTTTCAAGATAATGTTTCTGGATTCAACTGTTTCCTCCTCTCGCAGCCATTGCTAAGGCAAACAGCAGATGTTTGTAATCAGGACGGGTAATTAAACAGCAGCTCCGCTACTGATCAGTGTGACGGCGCTGATGAGAAAGTATGAAATTAAAAGATAATATAATGAATGCAGCGGGAAAACTCAGTCATCGCTTCAGCAGTGTCTATGCGCCCGCGGTAGCACCCAGTTGGTAGCTGTTATCCTTCATGGCACACTCATGTAATCCAGTTTTGAGATTAGTGAGTGATTAGTGGATGTTGCAGTCTGTTTTATGCATTTTTGTTATGTTTGCCATATTAAATAATGTGAGCAGTATTAGTATTAATGCACTGGCCATTCAGTGGTAGAAAAGAGCAAAATATGTGCCTGCACTTGAAAGTAATTGATGGGTTGTGGGGATGGCTATTTCTAGACAATTTCCTCTCACAGTGGCACTCAGGGGAACAGAATCATCTGGGGGGGGGGATACTAACTAAATTTAGAGCAGGAAAGCATTAGTCAT